ACGCCCACTGGGAGCATCTGTGTACCAGGCTAGTTTTCTGAGCTACGCATCCAAGTGGAATATGTCCATTTCGTTTATTTGGAAAGAACCGTGACTAATGACACTGTGGGAAATGCAAAAGCGTGTTCGCTGCGTGAGCGGTGCAGGGAGCCGGCAGTTACGGGCACAGAAAGCTGCCCGGATGAGTATCTGCCCGGTGCTTTCAAGCTGACCCTGCGAGAGGCAGTTGGTGTCTACCTAAAATCTGGGCAGAGGCCTGTGACATGGGGTTATTTACCACCCTCAAATGGCAGTGCTTTTAAGATTATGCAGTTTTTCCCTCCATTCTATAACACGAGGGAGTCTTCACAAAGTTCATGGAGATGCGTAGTATGCAAAACTGCATGGATTTCTGTCTCCCACCTGGGCCAGCCCACGGGCTTGTGGTGAGGGGAGCCAGACCCCATGGGCCGACTGCACAGGTGAGCTCCAGCCCGGGTGGCTTGAGAAACACAGCTGGTGTGTGTGCACACGTGTGCCCATGGTCTTGACGGGATGGAGGGGTGGAGAAGGGCTGCGGAGTGACCGGGCCTCACTCTTTTGGCAAGCACACATGGCCTCTGGCAATTAAAAAAAAAAAAAAAGCTCTGCATCAAGGTCAACTTGTTCTTTAATTACACTGCCTCCCCACGCCCACTGGGAGCATCTGTGTACCAGGCTAGTTTTCTGAGCTACGCATCCAAGTGGAATATGTCCATTTCGTTTATTTGGAAAGAACCGTGACTAATGACACTGTGGGAAATGCAAAAGCGTGTTCGCTGCGTGAGCGGTGCAGGGAGCCGGCAGTTACGGGCACAGAAAGCTGCCCGGATGAGTATCTGCCCGGTGCTTTCAAGCTGACCCTGCGAGAGGCAGTTGGTGTCTACCTAAAATCTGGGCAGAGGCCTGTGACATGGGGTTATTTACCACCCTCAAATGGCAGTGCTTTTAAGATTATGCAGTTTTTCCCTCCATTCTATAACACGAGGGAGTCTTCACAAAGTTCATGGAGATGCGTAGTATGCAAAACTGCATGGATTTCTGTCTCCCACCTGGGCCAGCCCACGGGCTTGTGGTGAGGGGAGCCAGACCCCATGGGCCGACTGCACAGGTGAGCTCCAGCCCGGGTGGCTTGAGAAACACAGCTGGTGTGTGTGCACACGTGTGCCCATGGTCTTGACGGGATGGAGGGGTGGAGAAGGGCTGCGGAGTGACCGGGCCTCACTCTTTTGGCAAGCACACATGGCCTCTGGCAATTAAAAAAAAAAAAAAAAGCTCTGCATCAAGGTCAACTTGTTCTTTAATTCCATTTCTCCACAAACGTTTTGAAGCCTCTTCATAGATCAGTGTTTTGTATAAAAGTGTTTTGAGTGATTTGCTACTCCTTGAAATAGATTTTGCAGGAAGATGTCACCATGTTTATAACCACCTTTAAAGACACCCAGGACACCGGCATGCAGCCTGAGGGTCACTTTACCCCAGTTTGAAAAGCACAGGGTCCTGGGATATTGTAGTCCAAGCTGTGGGAATTTTTTGTTAAAACTTTTTTCAAAAGAATTATTTTCTTTAACTTTATTTCTTTATTTTAATTTGACCAGAGAGGAACAGAGTGAGAGAGAGTGAGAACAAGAGTGAGAATGAGAGAGAAAGAGAAAGCAAAGCCGCCAGATCCAGGACTCAAACCACAGTTGGCCATGGGGGAGTCCAGCTCTTAACCACCACACCACCTGCCGGCCCCCTTTGTTAGATTTTAAGAAAACTCTTCCCATGTCCCCTTTTTACTTTGCCTACCTCACTAGTGAACTCCTTAAAAAGTAGCTCTTGGGACCAGCAGATGGCATAATGGTTACATTGCTGGACTCCCATACGACTGACCACAGTGCAAGTCCCGGGCCTGCAGCTTTGAACTCATACCAGGCACAAGAGCATACGTGCCCAGAATCCCAAGAGGAGAATGGAGGAGAGATTGTGGAGTGACCTTCGCCCCCGGGAGGCGGGGAGAGGAGAATGGAGGAGAACAGATTGTGGAGTGCTCTTCCCCCCTACCCCGGGGAGATGAGGAGGATGGAGGAGAAGAGATTGTGGAGTGGCCCTCCCCCCAGGGGGGCGGGGCGATTTCTCACTGTCTCTCTTTCTCTGTCTATTCAGCAAGTGATGCGCCTATAGCCAAAATCTCTTTAAGAAAACGAGGTAGTTCTCAGCACATGCCTGGTGTCATGCTCAGTTGAGATGATCAAGGACTGGAAGACCTGCCCCGCGGTCGATTTCCGGCCGAGACGCAGTTACCTGCCCATTCCCTTTACCTCTCGTTAACGCTAGAACCCAGACTAAGAAGTTACGAAGTGCCTCTTTCACTGCACTTGGAGAATAGAATCAGACGGCAAGCTGGTGACACTCGGCATGAGTACACCAAGGGAGTTATTTATACACCCAGATTTCAAAACGGTTGTCAGGCCTACCATGTGTGCTGTTAGAAGGTTTTTAATTTAAATTATTTTGTTAGATAATCCTGTGGCAAGTGACAGTATGATTTATCGCCACTAATCAAGATTCTGATCTCTCGGAGCCTTCTCGCTGTGTCTGCCTCTGCTCTTTGTTACATACGATGAGGTTTCTGTATGAAATTCCGGCTGCGTAGTGGTGGGCTGATGAGTCACAGATGGAAATGCGTTGGCACGCTACCAGCTAATAACGTTTTAAACTCATATTCCACAGTAAAACAAAAGCAAATTGTACACATGTGTTTTCCAACTCGTAGCATCCATGTCTGAATGCGGGCAGTCCGCGGTTGAGGACTTTACTCAGAGGAGAGGGACGCAGGCCGACTCCCCGCCACCGAGCAGCCTTACTGGAGCGGGAGCCTTTGCCGAAGGGATGGCGAGTCCTGCTCGGCTCCCTCGGAAGACGTGGCTCGACGGCAGGGAGTCAGAGCCGCCTTGGCTGAGGAGACGTCTTTATTCCGCAAGCCTAACTTTACTGGCCCTCTTAAAAAGAAAGAAGATTCAGGACCAGCAGTTGGCGTAATGGCTATGTTGCTGGACTCCCATGTAGTCGGCTGCGGTTCGAGTCCCAGACCCGGTGGCTTAAACTCATGCTGGGTGCACACGAGTGCCTACCCAGGATCCCAAAAGGAGAGTGGAGGAGAAGGGATTGCTACGTGACCATCCCCTCGGGTGGTGATTTCTTGCTTTCTGTCTCTCTGGATTTTTTGGAGAGCGCACGTGTCCTGTAGCAAAAACCTCTCCAAAAAAAAAAAAAAAAGAAAGAAAAAGAAAAAAGATTCCCTAATCTGAGGAAAATAGGAAGAAAAAAGTGTCCACAAAACCAATAAAATTTAAAACCTAGAAACTTTCCGGCCTTTCCTAAGACTATCCTTAAAGTAGACTTGAGCGGAGAAAGAGGAACGGAGAGAGCCAGCCGGAACCGCGGCCGTGCGGTGCCGTGCTATCGTTCCTGTTCGGTAAACATGTCCTGTGCTTTCCTGGTTTTTAAAAATTACTTGAAAAGGCTCCAATTTCACATGCTGTTAGGAAAGAAACGAACAGAGGCACGGTTCCTCCCTCAGGCCTACCTCGGTAGCCCGAGGACGGCCTGGTGCAAGAGGCTGAGCATGAGAATTACGGAGGTGCCCCTCTCCGTCTCCCGGGCTGAGGAATTCAGAACCACTTTTCTGCCTTGAGGGGCGGTGTGAGCTGTAAGTTGCTCTGGAAACACGACGTGACGGAAGTGATTACTGCGGAGCGTGACCGTGCCCCTGACATGAAATGCACACTTTGTAAGCGGCAGGCCCCGTCCAGCCCTCTGTGAGCTCCTGCAGCAGGAGGCACGGGACGGGCCACAGGCAAAGCGACCCGATGCTGGGTGGGGAGCCGTGTTCCCCCGGCCTCCTGTGCATTCCGAGAAAAGTCTCCGTCTGATGGCAGCATTCTCGCTGTCACTGTCCCCCAGAGCACCAGCAGCAGGTCGCTTGTCGCAGGCAGTGAACACAATAGCCAGAGAGGGGAAGTCGGTGTCGTGGGTGACCGCATCTGGTCGCCTCCACTTTGCACCAACAGTCTGGAAGGTCCCGGGAATGTCACGTAGCCAGCATGTCACACCGGTGCACACACAGACCCCTTACACCCTGGGCGGTCTGGGCCCACGCTGGAAGGAGCGGGTGGTTTCCACGGCAGCCTGGAGTGTGGGATTTTGCTCTGCCGTCCCATCGGGCTGGACTCAGCTGGGTCGGGAGTGTCGGCCACGCGCTGTCCGTCTGCCCTGGCGTGTGGTGTGACGTTCTGTGCCGTGTTGTTTTGGTGCATGCTGTGTCCATAGGGTCTGCCCGGCTTCCCCACAGTGGCCGCCCTGCACAGCAATCAGATCCTCGCCGTCAAGGTTTGTGCTGACACCCCGCCCACGGCCGTCAGCAGCCAACCAGCATGAGAGTGCGAGAGCCTCGGAGGGCCGCCCGGTTGCCTCCTCCATCCCTTCGGGGTCCAGGGGTGGGTCATATCCATCTAGAGAGGAGGAAGCGGCTGGGGTGGGGCGGGGCGGGCGCAGGGGAGCAGCCTCCTGGCTTCCCGGCCAGGGCTCCAACCTTGGCTCGGGTTTGTTGTCCCCAGCTCGCTGCACTGCGGGCCTCAGTTCAGCGCAGCCATGTTCTTGCCACGGTATGCTGGTTGGCAGGTCTGACAGAAACGGAGCTGGCGCTGTCTGGTGTTGGCCCCTCTGCTCCGAGTGCAGAACTGGGGGTCACAGCCACCTTCCTGCTCCCGGGGAGGACGGGGACGACAACACCTACACTGGTTTCTAACCAGGCTCTGCCCCCCACCCGCGTCCAGGGAGAGCCGAGGGCCTGATGCCCGAGCAGCGCCAGTTCCGTTGGGCTGATGGTCACTTGAGTCTAACGTGTATATCTCTATTTCTTTCCTGGGCCTTCTGATGTCTATTCTTCAACTCTCTCATCTCTGAACTCCAACCTTTGACCTCACCTGACTGATCAGATGGTGTTTCCTAAAATCAATCACGGGTTTCTCTCTGCTGATCAGCAGCTCATTAAACGCCGCCTGATCAAGGTAGTGCCTGTCCGGCTGACGTCTGTCTCTGCTTGTCTGTTGTCCTCCGGGTTCTGTGGCTTCCCATCACCTCCGTGGGAGGGCGCGGGCGGCGGGCAAGGATTGCTCACTCCCTAGAACAAGAAGATATTTAAGGAGCTGCATTTGTCTAAGATGTATATGGAAGAGCCATAATAAAGTATAGGAAGCCTACCTAATTCTTCCTTAATTAAAAAAAACTTCAATTCTGGGAACCAGCAGTTAGCGTAATGGCTATGTCGCTGGACTCCCATGTAGTCGACCGCGGTTCGCTTTCTTGACCCGGTGGCTTAAAACTCACGCCGGGCGCGTGTGCGTGCGTGCCCAAGATCCCGAGAGGAGAATGGAGGAGAAGAGATTGCGGCGTGACCACCCCCCCTGGGGGGTGATTTCTCACTTTCTGTCTCTATGTCTCTCTCTGTCTGTCTGGCGAGCGCACGCGCCCTATAGTGAAAAACCTCTCAAAAAAAAAAAAAAAAAAAAACCTTAAATTCTAACCAGTAACAGATCCAGCTTCCTAGCTCTGCAGCTCTGATAATTATAAACTCTTACGCATTATAACGGGAGCATGCTATGCTCCATTGTGTAGATTATGAGAAAGTGAACACATTTGTCAAACTCACAAAGCAATCATTGTGCTAAATCAAGGGAACATCACGCATACAGGGATTCGCACCAGCTCTGAACCCGCGGAGAACAGACTGCTTCAGAGCTGAGAGCTGCTTCCCGAGCTGCGGATTGTCACAGCGTCTACCCTGCTCTCCCAGCGTGAATATTTATCTGCTCCCTGCTGGCAGGCAAATTGGCTACAGGCCTGTGTTCCTGGTGTAAATGCAGATTAGATAGTGCACATTTAAGGTGTTGAAAAGATGACCTGGTGTCTATCTTTTGTGGTCATTGTTGGTCTGTTCCCTTCCCCATCCAGGGTGACCAAGGCCAGGCGGGACCTCCGGGACCCCCAGGCCCTCCAGGCCCCAGGGGGCCTCCCGGCGACACAGGGAAGGACGGCCCCCGCGGAATGCCGGGCGTACCGGTGAGTTCCTTTGGGATCAGTGGTTCTCCCAGGGTTTGTATCATGGTAAGACCTGAGAATTAGGGTACAGTAGGGTGGTCGGGGCCATGGGACAGCAGGGGAGGGAGTGGCAGCTGAGGGAAGTAGGGTGATGGGGGTCTCTGTTCACCCGGAAAACATGCTGGACATTCACGCGTCTGTGTGTATTGGGGAGGGGGGGGGAAATGAAGTGGTCGCTGACGCTGACACATTACTGAAATGATCACTCTTCATTTTTAAGGGCGAACCAGGGGAACCCGGAGAACAAGGCTTGACGGCAAGTACCTCCGTTTACCTATTCCTTCTCTGGAGACGGGGCCAGGCTGCTAAACCGGCCAAGGTTGTGGTGACATATGTGTCATATGACCGCGGACTAGGCAGGGAGATGGGGAAATTAAAAGTACTGTGGCCTGTCCACCACGGGCCGAAGGTCGCATGGCCGTGTCTGCAGGACAGGCCGTGGGGGCGGCAGGGAGACAGCGAGGCAGGGCGCAAGATGAAACTTGCTTAAAGCAGTTCTGCTTTAAGGGACTTTAGGTCCAGGGATACACGGGTTGGCTTTGATCGGAACGCATTTTCAGAGCTGTGTCGTGAACTGAACTGGCAGGGCCAACTCTGCACAGCAGTTCAAGGAGTGCTCCTTCTGACGAAGGCCCCCCACAGAGAGATGGCTATGCCTTTTGAATCTCAGTCATTATAAATGGGTCTTGGGGCCAGCCTTTGGCTTGGTGGTTAAGGGGGCAGATCCCTCCTGGTTGGAGCCCTGGGCCCAGAGGCCTGAGAAACGCCCCTGGTGAGTGTGCGTGTGCCACAGACCTACAAGATGGAGAAAGGAGGAGGGTTGCAGCGCGGTCGTGCTCCACGGGGAGGCGCTTTCTCCCGTCCTTCTCCCGGTCTCTCTCTGGTGGGCACGTGCACCCTCTGACAAATTAAAACAATGTAAAGGGTCACCACGTATTAACAACCTGCATATTAACATCACAAGAACGGGCTTCCCAAACGTGCAGGGCTGTGCCCCAGCACTTGCGAGCCTGCCGGGCCCTCCGGGGTGGACTCCCTCACCTGCCTGTTGTCCTGTCTGCTCTCAGGCCTTTCTGACTGCCTTTGGGAAACACAGGGAGTGCTCCAACAACCCACGGCCGAGAGGATGCTCACACTCATCCTGCTTCAGGCGGAGCAGGGCCGTGCAGGCTCTGAGCTGGCGGCTGGTCACCACACCTCCTGCGGGTTCCTTCCACAGTGCTGGCAGCCAGCCCGCAGTGGCTCAGGGGTTTACGTTGGTTTTAAAATCCTGTGCTCGGTCCTATGAGGCAGACTAACACACGTGAGCACCTCAGTGGGTAGGAATGAAAGCTCCCTGCGTGGGTGCCTGCAGCAGCCCTCCTGGGGAGGACCCACCCAGCTGGCTGCAGCTGGAGCTGCCTTTGCCAGGTCTCTGGTGGAACTGTAGCGGCCCGGGACCAGGTCTGATCCACTGCCTGCAGGTTCTCTGCTCCTGACCCATCATGTCAAGACATATTTATACAGGTAATTTCAGGGTTCTGTTGTATAAGGTGATTTTTGCCATAGGGTGAGTACACTCGCCAGAGAGACAGAGAGACAAAAAGCGAGAAATCACCCCCCAGGGGATGGCCACACCACAGTCTCTTCTCCTCCATTCTCCTCTCGGGATCTTGGGCACGCATGCACACACGCCAGGAATGTGTCTTAAGTCGCTGGGTCCGGGACTCTAACTGTGGTCAACTACATGGGAGTCTAGCAGCATAACCATTACACCATCTGCTGGGTCCCAGGATTTTTTCTTTAAAGGAATAAAAGGAAATAAAAAGAGCAAAAGATCACATGTAAAATGTAAAACGTTTCATCCTAATGGTGCAGCCCCACCTCCCGGGGCTGTGGGATCGCGGAGTATGAAGCCTCAGAGGCTGCAGTGTAAGGGTTGCCACTGCTTTAAGTACCTGCAGTTTCCATCAGGAAATGGTCAGAGTATGTCTCTCTCCTGCCCTCGTACATCAGAGCTGCCTGGAATCCTCGGGAGCCCCGTGTGTCCCCAGGCCAACACCAACTCAGATCCCGGTTGCTGGGGCCAGCCCTGCCCCAGACGCCCGCTCAGCATCTGACACAGGGTCTACATGAAGCCGACCTTCCTGGAGTCCGTGTGCTCCCTGAGCTAGCCTGGGGTGTCAGGGAAGTCACAACACGCTTTTGCATAGACACACAACAATGCGGCCTGCCTCTCCCGATGACCTCATAGTACGTGAGCATCGGTGCAATCCCACACCCCCACAGTTCTAGCCCCGCATCGCTGCTGTGACGGTATTAGCCCGGCTAACTCTAAAGGGTGGTGCGATTGCGTGGTCCCACTTCCCGTCCCATACCGAAACCTCCTCAGGTAAAGACTGCGCTGGCTGGCTCCTTTCTTTCTTTCTTCCTTTTCTCTCTTTCTTTTCTTTTCTTTTCTTTTCTTTTCTTTTCTTTTCTTTTCTTTCTTTCTTTCTTTCTTTCTTTCTTTCTTTCTTTTTATGAGTAAAACTTTTCTTCTCTTTAAACTCTGTTTCTAGTTCACATTCTCATTTTTAAAATGCAGCCAAGAAACTTTATTAAAATCACAAATGTTCTAAGGATATGTGTATTTTTAAAATTATATTATTTAACTTTCTTTTCTTCTTCTCTTCTCTTCTCTTCTCTTCTCTTCTCTTCTCTTCTCTTCTCTTTTCTTCTCTCCTTTTCTTTCTTTAATTTGCCCAGAGAGAGAGACAGTGATAGAGAGAGGAAGTGAGAAAGCAAGCCGCCAGGTCCGGAACTCAGCCACGTGGGAGTCCAGCGCCCTTAACCACGCCACCTGCCGGCCCCGGATATGTATATTTAATGATCAGTACATTTTTAATTACTTTAAGAGCTATGGTTTATAATGATGTTAAGTCTTTAAGATAAAGCTATGATTTATATAAAGAAAAGGAGACAAATCATAGTGTCTAACAGTGAATTTTCACAACGTGAATGTTAGCTATGGACAAGCCAGATCAAGAACCAGCACCCCGGGGCAGCTGGGGGCGCAGTGGGGTCACAGCTGGTCCCACATGGGGAGGTCCTGCCAGGCTAGGATGCTTAGTGGCATGGGGACCCTTCTGGGGTTGCCTTTCTCTCTCCCGTAGAAAAAAGAAATAAATACACTGTAAAAATAAAGAACTGGACCTTGACCATAAACCCCTCCTCCCCATCACCATCCCAGAGTTTACCACCGTTCTCACTTCTCTGTCCACAGGCTAGTTCTTCTTGTCTACACTTGCATTTTACATTAATTAAATCATGCCGGCCGTACACTTCTGTGCCTGGCTTCTTCTGTCCAAGATTACGTTTGTGAGGTCATCTAGCTCTGTTTTAATAGCCTTCACAGCTGGTTTTTAAAAGGAAAGAAAGAAACAGGAAGAAGAGCCTGCCTTCCTTGACCGCCCAGTCAGAGTTCCATGACTCAGAGGTGAACGGATGAGCATCTGTCCGACCTTGGGCAGGTCACTTAACCTCTCGATTTCTCTCCGGTACAGAAAGGATACTGCCCTCTCTGCCTGCCTTAAAGGCTGTCAAAGACAAATGCAATGAATTAGGAGAAGGCACTTTGAAACCTGTAGTGAATAATTGCATGAGTATGTTATTATTATTATCACTGATTTCTCTCTAGAGTAAATTACAGGTGAACATAGATTTATATAACAGATGGATTCCTGTGAAGTTTTGTTATGAATCAGAATTTCATAAATCAACATGCTTGAAACATGCTGGGGAATTTTGCTTTTTAAAGCAGTTCTCTTCAGAGTCTTTTTTGTAAAGAAATACCACCCCCTAGTTCTTCTTTTCAGCAAACCAAATTTCTATATTTTATATATAAACATGATATATTTCTCTGATCTAAGATCTATCATGTTTTTTAAAGTCATGATTTCTATTTGTGGTCTTGAATAGCACCTGTGTTATTTTAGCTTCTTCTATAGGGTGCATGTACTCACTTGGGGGGGGGAGATGAAAAATCAACAGCTTGGGAGGACGGCCACGCTGCGATCCCTTCTCCTCCATTCTCCTCTTAGGACCTTGGGCACGTGCGCCCATTGTGATTTCAGTCACCAGGTCTGGAGCTTGAACCACGGGGTCGGCCACGTGGAGTCCTGTTGCTGTGACCTCCATGCCATCTGCTGGCCCAACTCCTGTGTATTTTAACTCATCTCAAAGAGAGAAGGGGATGCTGGAAATATAATTGTAGCTTCCATGGGGAAAATTACTTAGAAATTTTCTTTGACTAGTGTGTGTGAGTGTGCATGTGTGAGCGTGTGTGAGTGTGTGCACATATGTGTGTATGTGTGTTTTAACTCAAAATCTGGTGGGGAGAAGAGTCCACCGTCCTAGTGACTCTAGCCTAAGAACTTCCCAAGGGTCCCGACCACATAGGTTGTGACCCCTCCACTGATCTGTAAAACATGGACAGTAACCCCTCCCTCCCTGGGTATGGAGAGAAGCCGGTGAAATACTGATGGGAAACGCTTCATGAACTACAAGGCGTTCCATAACGGAGGCGTTTCCCTGTTAAAACAAATGTCCGGTGACAACATGGAATGCAGAAGGGCCGCCCCGGGATGGAAGGATGACCAGCAGTGAACATGGCTGTCAGTCCAATGCCTGTGCTGCTTACGGCCCGGCAGGCGGTCTGATTCCCACGTCGGGTTTGTCCTAGTGGATGCCGGTGCTGCGTCCTCCTGCGTGGCCACCACCTCCAGTAACGACTTTTCCTAACCCTTCTCTTCTCACCCAAAGAGAAGATGAAGGCCACCGCTCTCGTCTCTTCTCCATTACGTGGAGCCCACGGCATTTGTTAGTTCATGCTGTGGGAGAGCGATTGCTTACATGAGGGTCCTGGGGACCCTGGAGAGGCTTTATACATTTAGAATGTCTCTGATGAGGAAGGGAAGAAGCTGGAAAGAACCTCGAACTGGCGCTTACTAAGCTGTTGATGAGTGTGTCTGGTAGGGGGTTCGCTCTCGTAACCCAGGCTGCATAGTTCCCTCTGCAACAAGAATCACGTGAAGATGAGCAGCACCTGCAGTGAGTGAACGACAGCCTGCGCGTGAGCAGGGGCACGTGTACCTAGCCCTGCTGTGCGTCTGCCCCGAGAAGCTCGGGATGAGGTTTTGGAAGGCAGACTGCGCTTACATAGATCGCACTCCACTAAACAAGGAGAGAAC